TAACCTTCAAAACATCAAGATATAGCACACTGAATTTAAATTATATTCTATGAAAATTTTCGGGGCATTACAGAAGGTCCTTCACTCTTTGCCTCTGCAATTCTGCTAGTGCCCAACTTTGTAATCTCGACATAAAGTTGAAAAGCTTATCCTCCTCAGATATATTCTAGATATCCAGCATGAAACTACTGAATTCCTTCACGTATTGTTGAACACTACCCGACTGCCTTAACTTTTTTAGATATTCCCTTGCAACCCAAGTCGTATTGCAAGACAGGAACTGATCCTTTAATTCCTTCTGCAACATTTTCCCAAATAACAACAGGTAAACGACCAATAGCTTCCTCATCCTTCACACGAGTTCACTACCACAACTTTCCATCACTCGAGAGATACATTGAAGTGATACTTACCAGCTCATCCTTTGGAATACAAGCATCATTGAAGAACTGCTCCATATCATAGAGGAAATTTCCAACTCTTTGGCATCACGAGCACCATTGAACTGCTTTGATTTACGAACAAGAATTTTTTAAGCACCCACTGCATCCCGCACAATAGTACTATTTATGGCCAATTTCAACAAGGAAATGTCACTCTCAAGGGCATCAAACTGAGCATTTGTGTTATCAGCAAGATCCAACAGATCTTTCATGAACGACGCTTGTCTTTCATCTACCCCGCTGGTGTACTCTTCGAACTGAGCCCTCAATTCTATGTGCACATCATTATGTGCATGGATTTGTGCAGCCAAACTGACTGCACTATCGGTCATAAGAGCACCAATAAAATCATCCAACTGAGCAACCTGATCTTTAAGATTCTGACTTGCAGCCATGTCTGCAAACGAACCCAGTAATTGCAACATGGGGGCTCTAATACCAATTATCACATGTATGAATTCGAGGTAAAATACTTAGTCATATTTTCGTCTATTATGTCACTGAGGTTCCACTTAATTAACCCACAAATTTGCACAATGCACACAAGGAAAGATAAAGGCAACAATGTAAAGGAACACAGAATTTACGGGTAAACCCAACTTATTTATTACTCCACAAAATACAAGAACATGAAAGAATATTGAAGGAACACAACACACTCTGTGTCTCATCAGTCAAACCTTCAAAATATATAGACCAAAATTAATGTGCAGTTAACACCCTTAACTGTCCACACTTTCCACCTGTATGGACCACGAAAACTGCCCCAACATGTGCTTGATTTGGACACCTAAATTTGTGGACTAAAGCACACTAACAACAAGCTGATACATCCATGCCTTGTCAATTCGCAACACTCTGACACCGATCAAATTGAAGCATCATGCCCACAAATTGAATACAAGAGGTGCACATTTCAAATTGATAGCAAATCTGCACGAAAATCGTAATTAGGAATAATAGACTCTGATTTATGAAAAATTTAGTTCGGAATGTGGAGAAAAAAATATTGTGAATAGAAATATAAATGTAGTTATAAGTCGTGAATGGCTGCATCAATTAACCTAAAATTTATGAATTCTTTTCTTGATTCATATCTTATTTAGTACAGTAAACACGGAATACTAATAATTGAGTACTTGGAACATTAATTCGAAAGTTGGAAGGAAGTAAATAATGTAAATTAAAAATTAATATAGACAGACCCCTACTCCAAATCTATCTTGCTTCATCAATGAAAAGTAAATCATTGTCGAGAAATTAGGTAAAATATCTTCAGTTCGTAAAGATCCGAAAGAAATTGTGCTTTTCTATCATATTCAAATAATACCTTAACGCGTTTGTTAGTCGGGCCTTTAATTTAATACCCTCTTTTTGGCAGTCGGCAGATCTGAAACCACCTATATTTTCTCACTAGTGGACACCTCCCTCTCTACAGTCTCTCACCAATTAATCGACATAATAAAAAACCACGTAATTTTCATCAAATTTAATTAATTAATCGAGATATCAGCTTCGTTTTTGTTAAAAAATTTCAAAAATAAAAAATCACCAATTGATATATAAATTAATTGAAAATTGTTGCATGTTTGGCACACTTACAAATCTACCTATAAGCAAGCTTGCTTACGTGTAAAATATGTAATTTTCTGTCGGTCACATTTTGAAAATAATGAAATTACTTAATTATCCCTACTTCTCGTTTTATTTATCTTCTTATTTTTATTTTTCAAATATTATTCAAATTTCTTAGAAAAAAACAAAATAAAAATTAAAGTATGACTACAATTTACCGTCCCGTCCCGATTTCTTTGCAGTGCGGAAGTTTTTGCCATCTTTACATAACTATAACTACACTTATAAGTGAATTTAGTTACTTTAAACCTTGCCCAAACAGGATTGATCAATAACTAACTATCAGTAGCCAGCAGTACATTCGTCATTTTGCCAGCTGCAGAGAGCAAGATATACAAAAAGAAAACAAAATTATTTTGGAAGAATGTATTTTGAAATAATAAATTGATAAAGAATATATGGTTGAAAAAGAAGGAAAAATTATTGATGTGATAGAAAATATTATTTTATGGAAGAATGTGTGGTTAAAAATGAGTAAAAGAATGAAAATAAAAATTTTAATGTGATTGAAACATTGACTTACTTAGGCCATGTTTGATCCGCATTCTTCTCAAAATTCATTCTTTTAAAACTCATTTCCAATCACACATTCATTAATAAAATAATATTACACATAAATCTAAATTTTTTTTTAATAATATATTTATCATCACATCATAAAATGCATTCTTTTCTCAAATTAGTTTTCCAAGGTCAATTTTGAAAATAATATTTAGCCCTCGTTTGACACTCATTTTTTTCTCATTTTCATTCTTTTTCTCTTTCTTTATTTCAACCACACATTCTATCAATAAAATAATATTACACATAAACCTAAAAATTTTCCTTACTTTTTAACCACATATTCTTCTATCAATCACTATTTAAAAACACATTTTTCTACTAAAATGAGTGTCAAACACCCCCTTACATTGGTTTATGAAAAAATAATTAACTTTTGCTTTTTACAAACTTCACTTATAAGTAATTCTGGACTTTGTTTGACATCCATTTTTTTTTTCCATTCTCATTCTCATTTTTTTTCTATTTCTTCATTTCAACCACACATTTTATCAATAAAATAATATTACATATAAACCTAAAAAATTTTCTTACTTTTTAACGACACATTCTTCCATCAATCACTATTTCAAATCAATTTTTTTCTTCAAAATGAGTGTCAAACACACCCTAGTGATTTTGAGCTTGCCCAACTGTTAATAAAAAAATGTGAGTACAATCTGTACATTTTGCTAGCTGCACGGAGCACGCCAGGAAGGTACTTAATGGGAAAGCACCCCCAACAAATTTCACACCGATACACGATTTTCTGTTCTTTGGCAATCCATAGGAATCGAAATCTCTGGTACCCACCAAAAGTCAAAAATCCCATAAAAATTCATTCAGATGGTTTGAAATTGAAGCTAGCAAATATTCGAAAAATCCTGAAATGAGACCATTTCAATCTCTTCTTCTTCTGATTCTACTGATTCTAACTGTTGTTTCAACTGTTGGGTCCTCTTCAGATTACACCGATTTAGCTTACAAAGGCTGTGCGAATCAAGATTTCCAGGATTTCAATGGGATTTACAAGCAGATACTTCAAAATCTCTTCGACACATTAATCTCTCAAGCTTCCACCGCAAAATTCTACAATACCACCGCCGGAGTCGGCCCATCCGCCATTAATGGGCTCTTCCAATGCAGAGGCGACCTCTCAAATTCTGCCTGTGTGAACTGCGTGAAAAAGACCCCGCAAATGTCCGAAAAGCTTTGTGGCCACTCCGTTGCTTCTAGAATCCAGCTAAACGGGTGTTATTTGAGATACGAGATTGCTGGGTTTAGGCAAGTGAGCTCGACTGAGTTTCTGTACAAGGTTTGCGGTTCAACTCAGGCGAGCGGCGCCGGGTTTAATGACAGGTTGAACTCGGCCTTAGGGGAAATAGTAAAAGGTGTGGGGAGTGGAAATAGTGGATTTTATGCTGGTGAATATGAGTCAGTGTATGTGCTGGGCCAATGTGAGGGTGATTTAAGCAGTGGGGACTGTGTGAACTGTGTGAAAAATGCAATTGACAAAGCTAAATCTGAATGTGGGACTTCAATATCTGCCCAAATTTATCTTCAAGAGTGCTATATTAGCTACACTTATTATCCCAGTGGAGTTCCTGCCAATACCAGCCCTTCATTTTCATCAGGTAAAATATTAAAGAAAATTACACTGCAGACTTTGTTTGAAATGTCACAAACTAATTATTAATTAACTATCTCGTCTAAAAACTTTGAGACATTAGATATCTGCTAAATTCGTTAGTTTCGTGATAAATGCACAATTTTCATATACGATTAAACCATGGTCTTTTGGCTTGCCTTCGCATCATTTGTATTCTTATATAAAAGGTTATGTCATAAAGGCTACATATACTTATTCAAAAAATTGTAGCAATAGGGCCGTTTGAGGTGGCTTTGCATTTGCATTTGTTTCGTATAGATGAGCTTTTGAAGCAAGCTACGATAATTTTTGTTTGGAAAGTAACTTTCAAAAGCACATTCTAGTGCTCTACGTTGGACCAACTTCCTCTGAAAACTCTTCTAATTACTTGAAGCACTTCATAATATTGGTCAAACGTGTCCAAAAGCAGCTTAGGTCTCAAAAGCTCATTTTAATTTTTTGAAAACCATGCCAAACGGGTCCCAACTAAATTGTTCTCAATGAATTTGGAGACGATTATATAAATCATATTCCATTATCCCGTTTAGTTCATTGCTAGATTTTCGAAAGATCTAAAGCAAGTGAATTCTTAGCAACTACCGCATTTCATGTTAATTTTGATGAACCCGACCTTGGTCTCACATGTTCTGCCGAGTACATGAATGTATCTGATTATAGTTTTCCCCAAAAATATGTTGAAGTTTTAAACTATGTGATTGGTGTAGGGAGTGCGGGGACAAGTAAGAATACACAGAAGACAGTGGCTATTGTTCTTGGAGGAATTGTGGGACTAGGCCTGGGAATTGCTTGCTTGTTGTTTGCCAAATCAACTTTGAAGAAAAAGACTCATACTTACAAGTATGGTGGATGAGGTTAGTATTATTTTGTAACGTAAACTAATTTCTTGAATTTTGTTTGACAGTTTTTTATAAGAAGTTTAGAAGATTTTGATAAAAGATGATGAAACGTGTGGTTAAAAAGTTGATAAAATTTGTGGGGTCCATAAAAATGTGTTGATAAATTTGAAGTTTGACCAGTTGAGAAGTTTATAAAATTTTGTGGGTAAAAAATACGATTATCTTAAATGGGTCACTTTAATTTATTATTTTGGTAATCGGGATATTGAAATTGTAATTTAGTATCAATCAAGTCACTCCATTCATTTCCGTTGGCTAGCTTGACAAACTAAGTAGGGGCCTTAGCTGAAAGTTTCTTTGTTTTTTAGTGAAATAAATGGTTGGGTTTGTCCTGTGTTAACTACTTTGTTCTGTGTTTGGGTTTGTATTTTGTTACCTTTGTGACTTTATTAGCGTATTCTCATGCATTGTGGGTCAATTAAGTGAAATTAGGCTGCGAAGATGGGATATAAAGCTGTGCAATTTTTTCAGTTGGACAAAATAAGACTCATTTGGTAGGTTTTCTACTTCTGCTCGTGTTTGTGTAGACCTCTGAAGTTATAGATTCTTCTAATAACTCTTGTAATCCGACAAAGTACTTTTAAAAAAATTAGTCAAAGGGATCCAAAATCAGCTTCTTAGTTTCAGATGCAGTTTTTGACTTTTCAAAAACGTTGTCAAACGGATCTTAATGAAGCTGAACCGAGTAACTTGATTAGGATTGATGATTTCCATACGTTCATGTCATTTGTGTTGGACAAGTTAACAAATTCAATAGATTGAAATAGTACATATCTGCGTCTCAATTAGTGCATATCTAGGGTGTGTTTGATGAATATTATTTTGGAAGAATGTATTTTGGAATAGTAGATTGATGGAGAATGTGTGGTTGAAAAAGAAGGAAAAGTTATTGATGTGATGGAAAATATTATTTTATTGAAGAATGTGTGGTTGAAAATGAATAATTTTGGAATAGTAGATGATGGAGAATGTGTGGTTGAAAAAGAAGGAAAAGTTATTGATGTGATGGAAAATATTATTTTATTGAAGAATGTGTGGTTGAAAATGAGTAGAAGAATGAGAATGAAAATTTTAATGTGTGTCAAACAGGGGCCTAATACACAGTATTGAATAAGGTTAGATGAACATATATTAGTTTCTCTTGCTTCTTCAATACCATCAAATGTTTCACATTCTTCTCTGCCAAACATGTGTATCTTTTTGGCACTCAATGAGAATGTAATTATTACTTTTTGGAACAAAATTGCAGATATGTCAAAAGTTAGAAAGCGTTACACTGTGGATTGTAAAGAGAAGATTTGGTTTCCACTTTGTCAAGGCATTACTTCCTTCCGAAGTTTTGTTTTTTTCTTTAATCCCTTTATGAATTAAATTGAAAGAGCTGTCTATTTCATAGAATCGTGTTAGTTTTTCGTATATGATTGTTGCTTTATGAATGTAAATTCCACAATTCATATAATGCGTAATTCCTTTATATTAAAGTAAGTAGATGGCTTCTCTTTCTTTTTATTGCGCTAAATCCTACTTTTTTTTCGTTGCTTTTAAGTCCAATGTTGCTTAACAGCTACGTACAAATGTGGAGTAGAGCAGCACGAATCCTGTGTGTGAAATGGGTTGGGGAAGTTTGAGCTTTTTGGTAAAATAACGTTAAAGAAAGATTGCTTTCCACTCACTCAACATGCAATTTCATTCAGGGCATCTTCAATCGGCTCCCAATTTAATGCAATGAATAGTGTCATTTGGTGTAATTTTTTAAGTTTTTCATTATTCCTATTTTACTTTTCATTTTATATTACGAAAAATTTTAATTCTTATTATATCCTCTTAATATTCTTTTATTATTTAATGATTTAATTTTGCATTAACTTTAGTGACCAAAGATGAAATTACGAATTAAATATCATATAACTTGTCGAGGTTGTCATTTAATGACGGACACATTGGACAAGGTGTCATAGAGTGATCTATTTGAGTAATTCTATTTAGCATTACTTGTGTTAAAATATCATCGTCTCCCAAACTAATATTATAGCACCTGTAGTACTCGATAGCATTATTTGACCTATTTTGAATTATTACAAATAAACTTCAACAACTACCTTAGTAGGAAAAAAAATTTAATTTAATTTTTCTGTCAATACTTCATCGGTCGAGCCCGTCGCACCGGGCTTGCCTAGTGCGATTTACATCTCCTGTGTGGTTTGGGGACTACTACACATGAAGCAGGATTTACGTAGTGTGCACTCACAGTAGTCGGAGCTCCATTGGCTGGTAGTGGCTGCGAGTTCCTATGTCAACAAAAAAAATTTTAATTTAATTGCAAGTCGAGTGATCATATGTGAAATTAACTCTAAATTAAACATTTTTTTTTAGAACAATTAAACACTTAGGGTGCGTTTGATTACAAATATTTTTCATGAAAAATGTATTTTTTTCCACCAAATTTCTTATTTTTGTACTCTTTGATTGATAATTTTTTCACGAAATTTGTTTTCCTACTTTTGGTCACGTGATAATAGTTTCCTTGAAAATAAGAAAAAAAAAATTTTTTAGGAAGAGGTAGCTTCTATTTTCCAAGCAATTCACTCTTTATTTTTCTCTCACATACATTCTCTATCTCTCATCTACCCACCAATAAAAAATAGACAATTATAATATTTTTTTAGGTTGAAAATTAATTAGTTTAACCCCAATTTCGCCCCTATTATTTGAAATTTAATGGTTGGAATAATATTTTTTTAAAATGTGTGGTTAAAAAGGAAGAAAATTTTTGGAATTACATATAATATTATTTATTTAGAGAATGTGTGGTTAATAAAAAAAAAAGGAATTATAATTTTAATGAAAGCTAATCAGGGGCTTAATTTCGCCATTACAAGATGGCTATTTTACAAAAAATAAGAATAAAAATGTCTTGCACAATATTAAAGAATAGAGAAAATTACAACCAGGATTTCGAACATATTAGAAATGTAGGAAGTAGTTTCTTGACTTATTTTTTTGACAGTTGTAGTCCCCAATTTCCATTTTTGTAGCAATTGATCCCAACTATACAATTTTACCTTATCTTTGAATGAAATAATCGAAGTTGACAAGAGACAATTTTATCAAAGTTTTAACTATTTATTACTTTAAATTAAAAAGCGAAATACCAAATCGTATTGCTCCTACTTATTTGATCGCTATTGTACTTGTCTAAGACGAAATGAAAGATAGAACTCTGAATCATATATTATGTAGAGAAAGTACGTACTAAATGAAAGAATAAAAAATAAAAAAATTACACAATGTATGATTTTTTAACTGAGCTCTTGTTTGATACCTATTTTAACCTCATTTTTAGCATTTTTCAAACCGTTGCATGGTAATTTGAGCATTCAATATTCATGCATTTTGACACGTGAATAACAAAAGATTGTACTTTTCTTAATCTTTTACTTTCCCCTTTGCCCATTTTACCCACAAGACTCCAACCCATTCTGTCAAGAAAAGTTGACAAATGGGGGTAGAAATGGAAAAGGATGCATAGATGATAAAGCCACTCATTCATATGCTGCAGCGTAGCGTAGGCCCCACCTAATTTGATGGAAAAAGTGAATTCTGATTGAATTAATTATCATGCTATTTTATAATGTAGGACCTTAACTCGCATCTGACGCACAAAAAAATGAACCACATGCCATTTTTGAAGAATATATTTTAGAATAGTAGATTGATAGAGAATCTTTAGTTGAAAAAGAAGGAAAAGTTATTGTTCTGACGTGAAATATTATTTTATTGAAAAATGTATGGTTGAAAATGAATAGAAAAATGATAATAAAAAAAATAATGTGGGCCAAACAAAATCATAGTTTAAGAAATTCTATAAGCAAACTGTAAGTTTAATCAAAGATGTTTTGGAAAAAATAAAGGGACAAATGTGAGACATTTTCTTTCAAATGTGAAACTTTAATTCAATTTTAGCATACACAAAAAATAAAAGTAATGGCTAGATATTCAGTTTAAGAAATTCTTAAAAACATTGAAAACTTAATAAAAAAAAATGTTATATCGTTCTATTAGAAATTTGTAATATATGACATTTACAAAAAAGTAACAATATCACAATAGAATAAATGAGAAATAGCTAACAATGCAAAATAGTAAAAAATGCAAGACACGCCAACTAGATGAACGAAAGGAGTGACGATAGCGGTGGTGCTACAGCTTGCTAGACACGGATTCAAGGAAATTGCTGGCTAAGAGGAAATATGTTATCACTTTTTTGAACTGTGAGAGAAGATAAATGAAAGTTGCTATATGTACATTCATTTTATACATTAAGTTTGACATTCATGATGTATCAAAATTATGGTCATTAATTTTTTATTTTTTTTTTTTATAGAAGAAGAGCAGTACTTCCGAGATTTTATTAAAATATCCTCACTCGTGGCGAATAAATGTCATTGTTACAAATGATATCAATGAAATCAATAAATGAGGAAATATTATTTTCCTTACAGTGAAAGTAAAGGATAATAGGAAAACAGTAAAAAAAGAGTACTACTTCAAGTTAAATAAAAATAAAAATAAAAGCAAAATACAAATACTTAAACTTTAGTGTTGGGCAAACCATATTTGTCAATCTGAACAAGCGCATTGATATGTCGTGGTAGGTCGACTGATCCATCTTCCTAATATCTAAGATGATATCAACCCTCGATAGCAAGTGCATTTGCAACTTGGTTCCCCTCTCTAAAGATATGGGAAACCATATTTCCATCAAATGAAACGATATCTGCAATCTGTCTGAGTAACTCCTGGATAGTCTACGGTCCACCACCTATTCAGTGGAGTTAGTCTACAAGTACAGAAATTTTTTACAGAATTGGTTACAGAAATTTGAAATTAACAATACAGATTCAAAATTGGAAACAAAACACATCAAAGAATTAACAACACAGATTCAATCCCAAGATTTTGACACATCAAGGAATGTCAAACTTGTTATACAAAAAGAATGTACAACTAATTTAATTCAAGATAAATACATTGGTTCTGGGCTTTGTGGTGCCATTGTGGTGATCATGATAGTTGATGGCGGCAGATGTAGGTCTATGCTTGTGGATAGAAGATTTGGGATTATTTGAAAAAGGACAATTCCATTTGAACATTTCAATGCATGCACCTTTGTTGATATTGTCCTTGTTGTAATAAAAATAATTGGTTGAAAAATATTTTTTTAAGTGTCAAATCACAATTTGCCATATGGTAAAATGTAAAACATGTTGCATCAAAGTGTACACTAAGCATGATTATTTGAAAAATTGGTTTCCTCTCTAAGTAATAATTAGATGATGACGGGGTTTGATTTTGATGGGTGTTAATTATTTTTTCACTGCATTGTAGAACACGCATTGTAGAACACCGTAATTTTCAAAATTTAGATATTTAGGATTTACATGGCCTAATTTCTAAGTTAAATGTTCCAATGCTCGTCCAACTTTGAGTATAACGGGTTACTCATCGAACTTCAAAATGTTTCTTAGTGGTCATTCAATTTTAAGTCGTCGCACTCCATTACTCACCATACAAATTTTGTTTCACTTTAAGCCTATGTGGATGATGGAATTCTTACGTGGCACTTACCTCTATCCAAAAATTTAAATTAGATGCCAACGTGGACACAAAATCATGAAATTCCAACACGTCTCTCCCATTTGTTTTTAACCAAAACACGTTTTCACCTAATAAAATAAAAATCACAAATTAGCAAAAAACTGATAATTGAATCGAACGTCCCCAAATCATCCCTCAAACCTTAACTTAAATGAAATTTGTCCCAAAATCAAAGGCTATACCTCAACAGTCGACCTAGTACCAAAAAGTTTGGATTATTGAAGTCATGCACATGGAATTAAATACAATACCATTTTTTAGTGTTTATGATTTCTTGTCGTAGGGAAACTTATAAAGCCCATTCAACTAATGCTCTTGTAGTAGGGTGAGCTTTAAAGTGCGGTTAAAATATTCATCTATTTTGTGCCTTTTTTGCATTAATTTAGTACACACACAAAACATATGTGGCCATTTGAGTGTAATCCGACAGATAAGCGCACCTATGTGAGCTTGCTTCTGTTGTAATTTTCATAGACTTCTCCATCAACATAAAATGGAATTGTGAGTGTTAGTCAAATCCACGTGGCACTTGCTTATCGGACAAATTAGTTTAGTGAGGATTGTGGACCTTAGAATAAATCTTATGATTGAAGATTATCTTGTGGTCACTTTTTTCCTCCAGTTTTGTCTTTCCCCCTCCTCTCACTAGTACATGAACCATGATTAACAATTTTGTCGACAACCATGAGTTGGTAGAAATCTACACTATCCATTTTTAAAACTGTTTTTTAAATCAACAACATGGATCTTGACAACACATGGATTGTCAACAAAGTTGTCGACAAAGATTGTATAAATTGCTTTATTCATGGTACGTTGGTTTAATTTTGAATTCAAATAGTTTTGGTCCTATAATAGAAAGGGTATTCTCTTGGTAGCATTTGGACTTGGCAAAAACAAGAGAAATATAGAGAGAAACCAAGTGAGAAATGTTCATTTCTGGAGTGAAAATTCTTGGTTTGGTTGACGGGTTTTTCTTGGTAAATCCATTATCATTTCTTTTTATGACGGTACTTTGATTCGGTGTGGCACAAATTTAAGCTTAATATCAAAACCTCCATTGGTGGTGGTGTTGAAGAAGTTTTGGATCGATTTTTATCAATTTGAGAGATTATTTCGCATTGTGAGTTGTAATAACATATTATAGTCTACATTTTATCTGTATACAAATGGTATCAAAGCTCAAGTGATAAAAAGTGAGAAATCAACTAGAAAATCGGATTAGAAATTGAAGTGGCTCGGGTTTGTTCAAGAACAAAGAGACTAGAAACTTCAAGCCCTTATTTCAGTGGTTCCAAGCACCTGGTAGACAAACAAATACCATATTCCGACTTCAGACAACTAGAGGAACATTTTGATACGGTACGTGAAGCACGTGGAGCAAGCAGTGAAGCACGCTTATTCGTGTAAAATCCGCAAGTGTATGGGATCATTGACAAGTAATGGATTTAGTGAGTTGAGTGTATCATCCTACAGGGAATAATTTTCAATTCAAGTGTACTAACTTTGTGCGAAATTTGAATTATATAACACAAAAGAGTTTTTGATTTTATTTTATGCTAAATTAATCTAATAAAGCTGTAAAAGTTTGGTTTTTATCAAATTATGAATAATTGTATTGGATTTCAAATCCCCTGTATTGTTATCTATTTAAATTCTTGATCTGTAATCTAGTTTCGTTCGTATATTATTGACAATTGATAAAGTTATGATATATTATTTTCTTTTTCAAGACATTAAATATATCCTAATCACTATCCAAATCTATTCAACCCGAATTTAAATGAATAGAATGCATTAAATTTTAGAAAATCTATAAGATTGTATAAGTGTAAATGTTATTCCTAATATCTATTGTACACATGTTAACTTTGCCGCGTTCTAAATTTATTGTGAGTTTTCAATACTACAACAAACAATAAATTATCTAATTGTTAGCTACACAATTAAATAATGCAACGGGTACGCAATATTAATCAAGAAACGCAACAAAAATTTAAACTATTAGTTTTGAACTAAAATAAATAAACAATAGGGTTCATCTTCATCCAATACAAAAATAGATCTAGCCTATCATGCTTTTAAATAAATTACAAGAAGAATAATGAAAAACTATCACATGGATCATGAAATAATGCAAGAAATCTTGATCTTTAATTTCAAGGTTGAATTCTTCAAAATTTTGATGTAATTAGCTTCAATTCCTTCATAGGGTTTGATCTTCTCTATCAAAATATAGGAATTGGTCCTTTATTTTTTTATGAATTTTATGACATTGTTGTGTATCTAGAGAGAGAGAGAGAGAGTCCTCTCAATGTTTTTCCCAAGTTCTGTATTAATGAAGGTCGAATTTAGGACAAGAAATCATCCCAAAGTTGTTTCCAATAAGAATTTGAATAAAAAAAGGAAATGGCTCATCAGCAGATAATTTGGCCCAAGCACGCGTTTATGTATAGCTACGACGTGCATGCAAGCATGCTGGATTGAAGAAATGGTGGTCCGTGTGCACACACTGGTATAAGGGTCGCGCGCGCTCTAGTTTACCCCGATTTTGTCACCGAGCAACCTTCAATCTTTTGATCATAAGTTTCTCTACCGATATTCGATTGAAGTGATTCAAAGTGTATTGAAAAGATAACTCAAATGGCTACAATTCTTATATATAGAATTTCTATAATTCAAACGTTTACTATCCAAAAAAGGGTGACAATTTGAAACTGAAAATTAGAAGTGTAACTTGTTCGGTAGGAAATTGATTTTGTTTCGATTTTTCATTCATTTGACTTATAATTTCATTCAATTGATTACATGTGATCTTCAATCATCGTTTCATTATCCTAATTAACTATTAGATGTTTGCGCTTCGGTCCCTTAACTTTGAATTTCTTTATTAACTTATTTCCAAACAGTTAGTTGTTCAGTGATACATGACACTTTTGTTGATGTCTGTTATGCTCCTAAAGATAATTTAAGAAATACCTAATTATTGAATATGTAACGACATAACCAAAGGGGCAAAAGTAATGGAAAAACAGGAAATACACTTCTATTAGAGGCATGACAGTTAAAATTCCAAAAAGATATTGTACATTGTACATCTAAAGAACAAATTACAACTATAGAACAAAATTTTAGTACAGCTGCTGCAGATTCTTCTTGATTTCTATACACGAGCTGCTTCTTCCCTTCTTGGTATTGCGGTGGCTTTGCAGACGGGACAGACATTTTTCTGACACAACCACCTCGTAATGCAATCGACATGGTATTCATGTCCACATCGAAGGCGTCCAATGCTCTCATGGTCTCCGTATTCGCATTGGCACACCACACAGATATCAGGCCCTTCGTTTGTGGCTTTTGCCTCTTCCGAAGTAGCGAACTTTCTTGTTTTCAAATGTCGTAGAATTGTTTCTTGTGAGAAATTGGCCCGGACACGATCATCACGAGAGATGTTGGTAGACAAATTTGATCTCGAATGCTCAATTAAATCAGACCCATCCCATACTTCGACACCATCATACGAACCTTGCCATGTTCGATTCAAGTGCCTGTAGTTTTCTTGAACATGCTCCCTGGATCGTCGAGGATCATACACGTAAGATGAAGGAAACTGGAAATTGCTGCCTTGTCCATTTAAGTAAGACCCAATCCGGTAGTTTGGTCGCCTTACTGTGGTATCGGCAGAGTGAGTGAACGTAAGGACAAAATGGACAGGTGGGATTGGTTGACACGCCATAGCAAGAAATTCTCGAATTATGGAAACTGATTTAGGAGCGGATTGTAAAGAAAATATGAAATTGTTGAGAAGAAGAGAAGAGAGGGTACTGCCTTATATAGAAGCGGAAATAATCTGTGAATCATTCTCGGGAAGGAAAGGAAAGTACACAAAAAGGAAATAAATTTTGAATGAATCCCAGGATGGAAAGTGCTGACTTATTATAACCGTTGACGGAAGAAACATCAGATTTCTAACGTTAATTTTTATCTTCAAAAATTGAAACTTACCATAAATTTACTTTAAATCTGGTCTGTCCATTGTGGTGTTTAATTTTTTTTAACTTCGCGTGATTGATAAGCTGACTCTTCATGAATTTATTTATGTAAACCATTGTAAATTTGATGTAGGTGTTCCTGAGTAATTCTGCCAAATTCACTATTTGTAAGAGAAATGATTTACTAATTATGGCTACTTCTCTTAGCTTAAACAATCGTGACATGACACATCAATTAATTGGTAAATAATAAATTCAATTCAAATTTTAAGGTTCACTATAAACTTATCTACCAAGAAATAAATGTGACATGTCACCAATGCTTACTATAAGCTAAGCGCGATAACAAGTAGATTATTTATTGTATTTACAATATGAAAAGAGAGATTTGTTTATTATACCATTCATACTTTAATTGCATAAGCATGTTGGAAGTATACAAAATTAAGTGATTGTTAGTTGTCGTTATTGTTTCTATGCCTTGTATGGTTTTTAGTATAAGAGCGTTATTTTTCCTTACGAACTGGGATAGAAAACGAGAACGAGGAGAAAACAGAAACTTATCACATATTTTAACCCCGGTTTTGTCACTGAGCAACCTTCAATCTATTGATCATAAGTTTCTCGGCCGATATTCGATTGAAGTGATTCAAAGTCTATTGAAAAGATAACTCAAATGGCTACAATTCTTATATGAATAGAATTTCTTTAATTCAAACATTTACTATCCAAAAGGGTGTCAATTTGATACTGAAAATTAGAAGTGTAACTTGTTCGGTAGGAAATTGATTTTGTTTCAATTTTTAATTCATTTGACTTTTAATTTCATCCAATTGATTATATGTGATCTTCAATCATCGTTTTATTATCCTAATTAACTATTAGATGTTTGCGCTTCGGTCCCTTAACTATTACATGTGATCTTAATTTTTGTTATTTTTATCTGAAATGAAATAAACAACATGTGAATTAAAGTTCACCAAGTCTAGAATAACTATGGGGAAAAGGGAAGGTATGAAAAAAAGGCAGTCCGCTCTTTTTTTATTTATTTGTCCAATATTTATTTATTTATTATTTTTTAAAGGTTAAATAAATTAACTAAATCAGAAAAATATTAACTAATGGTCTCATTAAAATAATTAGATTATGGAATAATTATTAATGATCTTAAAATAATAATAAAATTACGAAAACACTTTATTACATATAAACTTTGTCTAAACACAACTGGGCTCGTAAAACTTGAAGTTGATCGTCTCTTCACTCGTGCCTTTTAAAACTCGAGATAAAAATTATCGAAACCTAGTTAAACAAATAACAATTGTAATCAAGGAATTAAAATAAACTATCCATTACCATAGTTTATATAAATGAACTCAAGCTTGTGGTTCATATGGTAAGTGAAGGGGTGAACTTATCAATCACATGAGAAATAATATGGTAAGTTTCCATGTAAAATTTGAATTATTTTCCAACAACGGTACAATTTATTTCCTTACTGCGTACTTTCCTTTCCTTTCCAGGGACGGATTCACAGATGATTTCTGCTTCTATATAAGGCAGTATCCTCTCTTCAGTTCTTCTCAACAATTTCATTTTTTCCTAAATCATTTTTCATATTTCAAGAATCTGCCATCAACTGCTATTTTGCCCATCCCACCAGTTGCCTCCCACTCTGGTTTTCCCGGGTTTCACCATTATTTCCTAACAGTGGCTTCGCAGATAATCACAGATTATTTCTGGTTCTCAACATTCTATTATTTTCTTAGCAATTAGCTCAAAAAACCCATGTGAAAATGTCCCAACAGGTAGAATATGGATTTGGATTTAATGTTTGCGCTTCGGTCCCTTAACTATTACATGTGATCTTAATTTTTGTTAATTTTATCTGAAATGAAATAAACAACACGTGAATAAAAGTTCACCAAGTCTATAATAACTATAGGGAAAAGGGAAGGTATGAAAAAAGGCAGTCCGCTCTATTTTTATTTATTTGTCCAGTTTTTATTTATTTTTTATTTTTTAAAGGTTAAATAAATTAACTAAATTAGAAAAATATTAACTAATGGTCTCATTAAAATAATTAGATTATGGAATAATTATTAATGATCTTAAAATAATAATAAAAATACGAAAACACTTTATTACATATAAACTTTGTCTAAACACAACTGGGCTCGTAAAACTTGAAGTTGATCGTCTCTTCACTCATNTCGTCACTCATGCCTTTTAAAACTCAAGATCAAAATTATCAAAACCTAGTTAAACAAATAACAATTGTAATCAAGGAATTAAAATAAACTATCCATTACCATAGTTTATATAAATGAACTCAAGCTTGTGGTTCATATGGGAAGTGAAGGGGTGAACTTATCAATCACATGAGAAATAATATGGTAAGTTTCCATGTAAAATTTGAATTATTTTCCAACAACGGTACAATTTATTTCCTTATTGCGTACTTTCCTTTCCTTTCCAGGGACGGATTCACAGATGATTTCTGCTTCTATATAAGGCAGTATCCTCTCTTCAGTTCTTCTCAACAATTTCATTTTTTCCTAAATCATTTTTCATATTTCAAGAATTTGCCATCAACTGCTATTTTGCCCATCCCACCAGTTGCCTCCCACTCTGGTTTTCCCGGGTTTCACCATTATTTCCTTGCAGTGGCTTCGCAGATAATCACAGATTATTTCTGGTTCTCAACATTCTATTATTTTCTTAGCAATTAGCTCAAAAAACCCATGTGAAAATGTCCCTACAGGTAGAGTATGGATTTGGATTTAAAGAACAACATCGTCCTAAACTGGTGCAATGGATTAAACCGCCATTGGGCTGTCTGAAACTCAACACAGATGGTTGTTTCAGAGGATCATTATCCGCAGGTGGAGGAGTTTTGAGGAACACAAATGGGGATGTTGTCTTCGCATTTCACGAATTTTACGATGAGAGTTGTTCGAACATACTGGAGGCGGAACTTCGCGCACTCTTAACAGGTCTCAAACTCTGCTTTGAAAATGGTTATCTGTTCAAGTTCAACATATGGGCAGAGCTCGACTCTAAAGTTGGTATACAATGCGTGGAGGGTCGTACAGACAAATCATTGTCCGTTGAATTTCTTCATATTTTGGACGAGATAAAATTTTTGTGTCATCGATTTCAAGTCAGTCTTACCCACATTTATCGAGAAGGAAATAGCATGGCAGATCACATGGCTTCACAAGGTTTCTACACAAGAGATTACAAAGTTTTGGGACCTAGAGAACTTGATAAACTCGTTCTTGCAATTGTCATTCGTGAACGTTCCAATTTTTTATATGTTAGGCATTGAAATCTTTTGATTCTTTTGTAACTAGTCTGACAAAGTACAACTGTCTTGTTGTTTGTAATTTGTATCACAGATGTTCATTTAATGAAATGTTTTTGTTTCACAAGAATTTCATTTTGTGTATCACTTTTATTATTGCATTCTGTGGATTACTCCTTTCTATTTATGGGTGTTCTATGATAGTTAAAGAGGCTTGAGTACGTTGTGTCTACTGTTAACGAAGGCGGAACCAGTGAAACTTGGTTGCAGGTTCCTTGTGGTTAAAGTGTTGTTGGGAGGCTTTCGGTTCTCTGTATCTATTTGCTTTGACTGATCTTGTGTGCAATTTAATGGTCTTCATTTCTCCTTTCATCAAGATATACAACCTACTTTGGGCTTCTTTTGTTGGTGAAAGTCAGTACTCGAGATTGCTATTCTAAGGATTTAATTAACATGCAGTTTGGACTTCTCTTGCTAGTGGCATATTCTATTTTCAACAGTCCAATGGATTGTGCAACTCTCCCCAACTCTCATAAGCAAATTCATTCGACTAGTGTATGGTCTCTGTACGAATTGCATTCTCAATTGTCTATACATTGATTCATGCTTTGTGAGTACAAAATTGTTAGTTCTTATGGAAGTTCAGATCCTCTGTTTTGTAATTTAAAGTTTCGAGATTATATGCATACAGACATACAGATGCACTATGCAGAATACGTTTGAAATGTTATCTTGTTAGTTCTTAGTATTGTTTTTGTTGGGAGGAGATTCACTAATTTGCTCAAGAAATCAACAGTATATATGCGAAAATGTAACAAAACCGAACTGAAATTAAGAGCAGTAAAATCGAACACAAAGCATAAACTGCAAGAATCAGGAACTGCTTTAATAGAACTCAATCGATTCAGAGAATACAGAACAATAAACTATAAATAAACTTCGAATACAAAATGAACTTATCTTTTATAGCAAACCCACATGCCAAACTCCCTCTTCAATCACACAAGAAAGAACACCACTATGCTCGAATCTGCCCAAAAGTGAAGATACAAAAGGATGGCACTCAGACTTGACTGATTATTACACAAAAAGAGTAGATCTCTCTTCACAACCCACGGTTCACACAAGAACCAAACCCTCAAATAGAAAATCACACAAGATTTACAAGCTATTGAGAGAAAATAAAAAATCAAATGAGAATATTTGATTTCAACAGAGAAGAGGAGAACTCGAGAGAAACGGCGCACAGAGCAGAGAGAAATAGAAGAGTCTCGAAGAAGTGTACGTATCTCAAACCCTAGAAGCTCGTTTTTATATGAGTCACCTAAGGTCACAAATCCAACGGTGTTATCAGTGACAATTGGCGACATCATGAGCATCCAAATCAGGTAGGAGAAAAAACACGGTTTCAAGCTTTCCCAAATCATGTTTTTAAGT